ATAGCCCGAGCAGTTAATAGAGTTCGCTTTTTGTGATAGATTACTAACTTACTCATGAACTATATTCTAATTTTATAGGTATTTTTAGAACATATATAATAGCCTAACAACAAGAATTTTGTAAACCATCTATGAAAGTTTTAACACTTATATCTTCATCTAATTCGGGTCAAGTGATATCTTCCCCATCAAAAGCAATTTCAAACTTATTTAATTGTTTTAAAGTGGCTTTTCTTAAACGGGGAAATCAGGCAGTAGGGATGCTTACTGAACGACCATCGGATAAATCAACCGCCAATACTTCCTTACTGCATTTCAAATTAAGTATGGCTGGATACTTCTGACTAATAATTGGCATTGGTGACTTCTTGGCATCTAAGTTGACTTTGGCCATGATATTTATGTAATTATTTTTAACTTATGCCTAACTTCTTCAAAAAAATAATCGGCTGATTAATTACTCTAGCAGTAATACTTTTTTTAGTTATTCTAGGATTACAGACTTTTTTAGCCTGAAAAAATACTGATATCCAAAACAAAAAACTACTCTTAAAACACGGAGCTAACCAAAATTTAGAAGAACAATTAAAAGAAGCCCAAGAACGGCAAAAAGTCCAAGATGACATTGCCAAAATGACGCAGGAAAAATTAAAAGGTTATAACGCGGCTAAAGGAGGACAAGTTCTCTCGCCTCATAATATCAAACATTTAGGTCTGCGTAATCATCCTTCTTTAAAATGTGAGGATTGTAAGAGACCAACTTTAATTTTCAAAGATGAGGCTAACGAGCATTTATTACGGATTTTAAATGATATTACCGCCTTTAAGCAAGGGGAAGAATTAGCTGCTGATGGGGAAAACGATCCTTACTCTTCTCAATTGAAAAGAAATAATGCGGTGCTTTACGGAGCTCCTGGCACGGGTAAAACAGAGTTTATTAATGAATTAGTTCATCACTTATACCAACAGTTTGCTAGTGAAGAAGCCAAAGATTTGCTACAACAAATTAGAGAATTAGAGGAAGAAATAAAAGGAGAAGAAGAACCAACCTCCGAACAAATCCAAAAACTAACTGAACTAAAAAAGCAAATAGCCGAAATAGAAGAAAAGGAATTAATCCCACCCGTAATTGAAGTTAAAGGGGCGAAATTAAAATCTGCCGGGGGAATTACCGACCAACCTAGTCCGGACCAGAAATTAATTAGCATTATTAAACATTATAAAAAAGAAGTTTTTGGGGATGAATTTAGTTCTGAACCTTACATGGTTTTTGTAGAAGAAGCTGACCAAGGGGTGGATGTAATGGGCGGAACAGGAGGTAAAAAGAATTATTTATTAGAAGAATATAAAAATTTTCTCTCTACTAGCCAAGATAAAGCCGGCTTATCTGCTGAGGCTCAGGACCCTAATTCTATTATCATTATTGCCACTAATAATTTCGACCTAATTGACCCAGCCGTAGTTAGGAGAGGTAGATTAGGAAAAAAACTCAATTTTAACTGAACCCCGGAACTATTAGAAAAATATGGTAAAGAAGGGGATGATAATTGAAATAGAGAAAACAGTCGCTCTGAATGAGCCCAAATTAAGTGGCCCACAAATGACCCCGCTTGACAATTTACCGGCAATGCTAATTATCCGGAATTATATAATATGGCCACCGCTTTTGGCTATTCCAAGTTTAAAGATGAATTTGCTAATACGGGCAAGGCTAATCAGATAATTACTTCTTATAAAAACCTTTCCCAACAAGAAAAAGAAGCCAAAGAAAAAGAGTTGGGTCTGGTAAAAGGGGAAAAAGGAAACAAGGTTTGTAATTGGTTGTTGCATTTCTTGTATACTTTTCACTGATATAATGAAAGGCAGAATTTACCGGCTTTTACTAGTGCTAAGAATATTATTAGATATGATTTTGGTAATGAATTTTTAACTAGGGAAGCCGTGTGAGGAGTTTATCAGCAAGTAGGGCAAGAAGTGACTCAAATGGGCTTAATATTTGATATTTTTAAAGATGTGGCTCAGAGTGCTCGTAATATTAAAGATTTGATGGTGGAAACTCAGAGTTTTGGCACACAGATTCAGAATTTACAGAGGCAATTAGATGAGGATGTTAATAAGTTGGAGAATGGTTTGAATAATTTGAGAAATAATTTGGAGGCGGATGTAAGGGCTTTGGAACAGAAGATTGGGTTGTTGCAGAATTCGAGTCAGTATCAGAATTTATCTTCTAGGTTAAGTACTTTGGAGGGGAGATTGAGTAGTTATGGGGGTTCTAGTTCTGGTAGTAGTGGAGGGGTTTCAGTTAGTTCTGTTAATTCATTAGGCGATAAGATAAATGAGTTGAAAAATAGCGTTAATGAATGAGTTCAGGCTACTAATAATAATGATAGTAGTCAGCAGTCTTATACTTTTAATAAAGTGCAAACGGCTTTGAGTAATTTGGTTAGTCATTTTAATGGGGTGGTAAGGGGTTAAAACTTGATTTCTTGGCCTACTTCTTGCTAAAAGTAGTAAAATGTATTTATATGGTATGGACAAGAAATTATTTTTTAAATACTCTTGCAAGAGAGAAGGGGAAAGTAAAATAGTCTCTAATCCTCTTAAAAATAATTCTTTTGGGGGATATTTTGGTTCCATAATCAGCAAATTTTATCTTATTTTTAGTAAATATTTAGGAGGGGGGAATGTTTTTGTTTCTTGAAGTTTTCTTTACTCAGCGGATTCAGGATAATAAATAACAAATTTGCTGAGGAATAAATATTTAAGAATAACGCATAATAATAAAAGTAAAAGTAATAAAAATATGGTAAATGCACAAGAATATATAAACGATAATTATCCTATAGATAAAAGTAAAGTAATCAAATTAGATATTAGCGGACAAAATTTAGAAGGAAAATTAGATCTATCAAGTTTGGTTAATTTAGAGGAATTAGATTGCTCAAAAAATCAATTAACCAGTCTAAATCTTAACAATTGCCCAAAACTCAAGAAGATAAAATGTCATAATAATGAATTAACTACTCTCAATTTAAAAAAATGTCCCAATATTACTGAACTCGCTGGCTGAAGTAATTCTCTAACCAACCTTAGTTTTTTGAATGATTTAAATAGTGAGAAGTTGGAAAAAATCAACTTAAGAGATAACAAATTTTCGGATAGCGACTTAGTTCCTTTTAGTAGATTCATTAATTTGCGGGAATTGTGATTGGGCAATATTCAAAATACTAATAACCATTTTTTTGGTTCCTTAGAGCCTTTACAAAATTTGCTAAAATTAGAAGAGTTAGACATTAGTAATACTGACATTAGTAGTGGTTTAAAGTATTTGCCTGATAGCATTAGAGACTTTCGTTGCTCTGTTGACAAAAGACCTAAAAGTAAGGTAAAAAACATTGAGGATAGGTTAAGAAATTGTGGCTGGCCCCAAGGTGGTTATAATTTTTCTCCTCTCCTGCAAATTTGAAAAGAGGCTAATTCTAAGGAAGTTAATAAAATTAGAATTGTTCGCCAAGCTTGGCAAATCGGACAATTAGAAAAGCAATTTCAAAAAAAAAACAACGATTACCAATTAATAGTGGTTGAAAATCAAAACCAGCAAGCGAGAATAATTGAATTAGAAGCAGAGAATAATGAGTTAAGAGAAAAATTAGAAAACCTACAAGTGGAGGACAAAAAAGTGCTTAAAAACATACTACTAATAGGGAAAACAGGTAAT